TTGCTGTGGTTCTTGCATCTGAAGAAATCATCTTGACTATAATATCTGAGTCTGAGAAAATCATCTTTGGTGTGACATGTGAGTCTGATCCATATAACATCAACTACTTCTTCTAGATTTCTAGGCTTCTAGACTAGAAAATCACCGTGTTCAAGATTCAGTCCTCACCTTGCTAGGTTGCCTACAAGTTCCCTTGTGGTACCCTCTTTTAAAAATCATTTTACGCAAGGCTTAGTCAACCCGCTAACTTGTAAGTCACACCTGCAAGCTCCCTTGAATACATTCTAGAAGTCTTCTTCCTCATTAAGTTTCAGAAATAATTACATTTTTTTTTTAGCCTAACGTTTATCAACTGAGTGAGCAGAAATTTTACCTGATCTCAAACGTACTACATTGGAAATGTGTTGATAAGATTAAAACGCTAATAATTAAAATTCTGAAGACTGTACTAATAAGCGCAATAACGTCACTCAATTTACTCATTAAAATATTAAATGGAAACTCATTCTTTACATTTGATTAATAACATATATATATATATATATATATAGAAATTAATTAGCTAAAACGATGCCCAAAGAGTAATAAAACAAAGATGCTTAATAAGCGAATTATCAGTCAATTTTTGTTTAGCAAGCAAATGAACGAGAGAGAGAGTATAAGTGATCCCACTGATACCCGGTTAGGGGTGGAGAACGAAGAGGCAAATGCTGACGTGACGATAAATAAATTTCTCTCTTGTTACTAGTGTAGTAGGCTATATATGCGTGGCACAGGATATTCCATTTTAATCAATTTGCTCGAGTATTATCAGAATTATTAAATGCAAATTAGGTAATGATTGCATCAAGATAATGATCTTCCTGTTACCTATAACATGACCTCTTTTAAATGATTTGATACAATTAATAATTTTAATGATACATCCGTAGATTCATCAGAATATTTTACGTCGGGCAATATGATAATGCCATTTATGACAATTACTAATAAAAAATATTTAAATTGAAATTAAGTGATGGGATGTATAAAATAAGATGAACTACAGTATTGTAGCGATACTATAACCTTTCCGGATACGGTTCGTTTTATTGAGTTGGATGGAAAGAACGAAAGGGAAAAACAACAACACTTTCATCGGCTCTAACTGATTCTACAAGCTGTTTTATTCGCACGCGATCAAGGAACAAGCTAAAACATGTTACGCTAAGCTAGACACGCGCGCGAGCGAGCGAGCAAGCAAGCGCGTGCCAGTAAACGAGAAAGTAATGTGCGCCGATATATACGTCCTATTTTCAAGCAGTCTACTCGGTAAGTATAAAGAATCTGTATTCAACGTCGTCAGTGACGACGACGACGACGACAACGACGACAACGACGACGACAACGACGACAACGACGACAACGAGTGTGCTCGTAATACGGCACGTAAAGTGGCTCTGCCCTAGAGAGTAAGCGGAGCATGCTGGAGAAAGGAGAGTAGGTACACGAAAGGTCGAGGGCAATGAACTCTTTCCGGGGTTTTAGCTGGTGAGTAGGAAGAGAAGATGGAGGATTCAAGTGAGAGAGAGAATGAGAAAGAGAAAGAGAAAGAGAAAGAGAGCAAAAGGCTGGCAGTCGACGTGGTTCGAGTTGGCGGGCAGGGTCTTGAGGGTTATGTTTGGGTGCTGTCACGGGACATCCCGTTTTATCGCGCCTCAGGCTCTCACGTTGCCCTAGGTCACGGTGCCACGAGAACGGAAGGATTTTCTCCCCTAAGGGCAGGCACACAGTGAGAAAGCGAGAAAGCTGCGAAAAGAGGGAAGGAGAGGTCTATCCGAGAGTAGAACGTCCACATCGGTTGGTGGTGTGCCATGGGTAAAGGGTAGGGGCAAAGAGACCCCTGTCTCGCTTGGCGAGACGCCCGCCTTCCTTCGATGCTATCAACCTCGACCACAAACACGGATTCACGGCCACTTTGGGGGCTTTCACGGAGTTTCTCAAGCTCACTACTACCACCCCTCTATTATCGATCCGAAATGAAAGGAAGGAGCGATTCGTTTAAGTGGTTTATGCTCTTGCATCAAAGAGACCTGCAGTTATCCTCCTGGATTGCTGCCCTTTTTTCTATCTTTTTTTTTTTTTCTTTACTTTCACCGGTTTCTTTTTTTTTTCTTTTTTTTTTATTAAAGAAAAAAACTAGAGTATCATGGGAATGGTATTTTGTGATCATTTCTAACAATGAAATGAAAGGAATTCAAAATTAGTTAGTCCAGTATTTCAAATGGTCGATCTTTTGTAAATACATTCAATATTAATGGGCTTAAAGCTCATCAATTGCAAACCAATACAATGAATGCATTCATATTCAACAGACATTAGGTTATTCAATGAACATATGCTTTCCTTTTTGTCGCTTATGAATTAATACCCAATTGATGCGATATAACGTTTCGAGCGTATTCAGTGTTTAGATCGATCGTCGCTAAATCAATCTACCTCTGGCATGTCCGGTTGTAGGATGTAACGACGAAATTCATCTTCTTTGGTTATTCGTTGATGGGATTATTGTCGTAATTCAATAACTGTTTATCGAATAGTAACAAGTAACAATTATGGTTCTGTTAAATAATTTGTTTTATACTGTTTGGAAAATTTTACAATGCTGTTTGATAAAAATGCAGTAACAATAAAAATAAAATTGAAGTATTTGTAATAATTAATAAATAATTAATGAATCGAAATTATCGAATAAGAATTAAATGTAAGACTCAATATGCACTATATTCGATTTAAGTGACTATATTAGATTATATTATGCAAAATCATATATTTTTTTAGTCTCCCGGAGTAGTGCCATTTTATGGAGATTCTAGTGCCGGTTTTCGGCCGGCAGCTGGTTTCGGTAACACAGTATGGCATCAGGGAGTTGGTCCTGTGGGTGCAGTCGCAGTTGAAACCACGCCAGCTGCATGGCCACCTCAACAATTTATTCAACAAATTCCTGCTCCTAATCAATTAGAAGAATTAAGATATCACACTCAGTACAGCACCGCAACGCCTTATCATCCTCAACCAGGTACGTAAATGAAATATTTTAAGGTCATTGTCTAAAAATAAGTATGAATATATTTTCATGAATTAATTCAAATTGTCATTGCAGTCGCGTATCAACAGCAAACTTTTATAACTACTGATCAATCGGCATTTCAACGAGCCGGGACAACAGGACAATATACAATCACGGGGCAACCTTCACCCTTAACACCCGTGGCACCGCAAACGGCAGCTTCGACACCTCAGAGGCCATTAAATGGCCAATTTATGGATCCTGCTTCGGCACCAACGCAACCCGTTGGTTACGAAAGACAGGATTATGTTAACGGTTACCAGCAGCAGGTAAGAATTGCTAGTGAAATTTATTTTTTGTGCCAATGTTTTATGCAAAGGCCGAATTTTTATAATATATTTGAAGACGAAGCTTAATATTCGTTGCTAAAATACATATCAAATACAGTGATACGTGCAAAACATGTATTAAAAAAATTAAGATAAATTATTTTTATTTTTGTTTTCATTATAACGTGTACATGATAATAATACTTTAATCGTATCATTGATTTAATAACACATGTATTACATAGCAAAGAAGAGTAAGCGTCTCTTCTTGCGGATGATAAAGCTGCAATCGATTTTAAGTTACAGATCGAATGATCCTCTTTTCAGGATGTGACAATGGCACCACCACCTTCGACAACTCCAACAAGTCGTTGTAGCTCTGTACATATGGATACCCAACAAGCGCAACAACCGCCACAGCAGCAACAACAACCACCTCCTACGGACACTGTAAAAGGATTTGCCACAATTGCTGCAAATAATGTGTCGGGAAACGAGATGCCTGGGTATCCACTTCAACCGGGCCCACAGAGCTTACACAACTCTAACGGATATCCAGGCTACGTGGAAATGGGCCAACAACAGCTACAAAATCAGTGGCAATCGCAAGTTGCTCAACAACATCAACATCAACAACAACAACAACAGCAACAACAACAACAACAGCAACAACACCAACAACAACAACAACAACAACAGCAGCATCAGCAACAACAACAGCAGCATCAACAACAACAACAGCAGCAGCATCAACAACAACAACAACAACAACAGCAGCATCAACAACAACAACAGCAGCAGCATCAACAACAACAACAACAACAACAGCAGCATCAACAACAACAACAACAACAACAACAACAACAGCATCAGCAACAACAACAACAACAGCAGCATCAACAACAACAGCATTTGCAACGGCAACATGCTATGTCGGATACTAGTCAAAGACATATATGGACTGATACTAGTACAAGTTCCAAAATCAGTGGTGTAAATAATAGTAACATGACGTGGTCTGATTCTACTCTTCAACACCATCAACAGCAGAAGTCTTCAAAGCAGCAACTTCAGCAGCAGAGTATGCAAACTACTATGAAGCAGCAAAATGAGCAACAGACGATGCAGCTTCAAGGGCAGCAAGAATTATCAAGACCAGGAAGTCATATGAGTTGGGAAAATGGTAGCGTAAAAGATCCTCAAACTCCTCAATCGTGGTCTGACAATACCGAGAATCAACAACAACAGTCTCAGCAACAAACTCAGGGAAGTTGGTCGCAACAAAGTCCTAAATTAAGAGATACTCAAAACCCTAGATTAACGCCATCTTCTCAAAAACAACATCAGGGATGGCCACAACATTCTCCAAAATTATCAGATCATCAGCAAAATCCGTCCCAACAAAGTTCAAGAGTAACGCCTTCTGGTCAACATACGTGGCAACAAAGTAGTCCTGAAATGCAAACGCAACAGGTTACTGGTCAACAAAATACAGGATTAATCATATCTTCTCAACAAATACAACAGCAGCAATGGTCGCAACAAACTAAACTTGAACAAAATCCAAGACTGACCCCATCTAATCAAATGACATGGCCAGATACACCAACTAGTCAACCCAACTGGTCGCCAAACAGCATGAAAAGTGAATCCAGTCAGCAACCTCAACAACAATGGCCAGATTCTCAACCTAGTCCAAGGAGAACACCTGGCCACCAATCTACCACATGGCAAAATCAACCATCCCAAGAAACTAAAATGGATAATCATATGGCATGGTCCCCATCTCCAGTTAATGAAAATCAACCTACATGGGGTCAGCATACGACAAAACAAGATATACAAAATTCCGGAGAAAGAATCATGTGGCAACAAAATACAGATAATAGTAAGAACAATGGATATTCAGATAATCAAGATAACCACGAAAATAATGTATATGCTCAATCGAATCGAGTGAATCTTAATAGTCGACTTAAGTCAATGATTTTGAGCAAGCAACAACAACATCAACAGCAGCAGCATCAACAGCAGCATCAACAACAGCAGCAACAACAACAACAGCAGCAACAACAACAACAACAACAACAACAACAACAACAACAACAACAACAACAACAACAACAACAACAACAANACAACAACAACAACAACAACAACAACAACAACAGCAGCAGCAGCAACAACAGCAGCAGCAGCAGCAACAACAGCAGCAGCAACAACAACAACAACATCAGCAGCAGCAGCAACAACAACATCAGCAGCAGCATCTACATCAGCAGCATCAACAACAACATCAGCAGCATCAACAACAACAACAGCAGCACCAACAACAACAACAGCAGCACCAACAACAACAGCAGCACCAACAACAACAACAGCAGCAGCAATTGCAACAACAACAACAGCAATTGCAACAACAGCAACAACAACAACAGCAGCAGCAACAACAGCAGCAGCAACAACAACAACTGCAACAGCAGCAACAACAATTGCAACAACAGCAGCAGCAGCAACAACAATTACAACAACAACAGCAGCAGCAGCAATTGCAACACCAGCAAATGCAGCAGCAACATCAAGTGAATCATCAAGAGCAACAACATCTTCATATGCACCGTCAAATGCAAGGGCAGCATAATATTAACAACATCATTGGATCGAATGGAGAATATGTTGGGGATGATAGGTTACGTGAATCACATGAAAATTCGGAAAAGATGCAAGACAAGTCAACGGATCAATACCTCAATCAATCGACAATCATGTCAATGGCGCCATCTAATGAAAATTTGACCGGTAATTTTTTATTATACAGCCACCACCCTCGGGTCGATAGTTTGCCCGAAGGTGGTGGCTTATTAGAATGGACAGGAGGTGGAACCAATTTAAGTAATCATAACGTACTAACAGAAACCGGCGTGACTGCTATAGAAAATTTAATGAAATTCACGACAGAGAATAAAATAGTTCTTGACAAACCTTCTGATGAACAGCAACATATGCAAGAACAAGACCAGGAACAGGTATGGAAAGACCAGAATAAGCATCATGATAATCCTACCATAGAAGATAAGACGTTTCAACAACAGTGCGTTGAAAAAGAAACTCCAAGACTCGAAGAGGTACAAGAAGACACGGGTACAACTGAGAAAGCGAGAGACAACAACCTTGAATTTATACAGACCGCGGATACTTCCGTAGTGGTTGAAAATGAACAAAGATCCGTTGAAATGGAGGTAGACCAGCCATCCACGAAAGAGGAAGATAGTTCGGAGGTAAAGTACGCTTCAGATCAAACCATCAAGCAGGAAAACATAGGAGAATACAATTGCGCCATACCCGAAAACATTGAATCCTGCAATGTTTCTAGAGGAGAAGACCATACTACGCTGCCTGTAAAAGCTGAACCAGATCAAACATCGCATGATGCTTCGGAATATAAATTTAGAGGCGACGGTGGTCCCGCCAAAGTATCACCGAGTACTGGTTCGTGGTGCTGTCGGAGGGGTGGTACTGAACAACCTACGCCGGAACATCTACGCGAAGGTTGTTGCCAAGGTCTTCAAACGAGGGATGAAATATTAGCAGATTCTCAACAGAAATCAGACTCTGATATAAAGAATGAAGGACCTAATAGTCCAAGAAGTGGCAACGCATCATCGACTACTAAATTGCAAGATCATTTGGACAAACTGAAGAACAATGTTAGGACCGAGGTACCGGACTGCAACTGCTTTCCTGCCGATAAATGTGAGTTGCTATTGCGTATTCAATACGACACTAACATTGAGAGAACACACTAACAATGAATATTTGCACACGAACGAATAATTATAATCGTAAAAAAAGTACTGATAATTACGGCCAAAATACATCGATTATGCGCTGTGTTCAGAGATCCAGAGAGAAGTGTGTACATACCTAACCCAAATTCCTTCTCAAGGATATAACATACATGGCATAAATGTTTCCGCTTCTGTTGCTTGCTTTCGTTGAAACGTCGGTTTCGTAAATAAAATGAGGTTCAACTACAAGGTCCGCCTGAACCCGGCTCATACTACACTCATCTCGGAGCGGCTGCAAGTCTGTCTGATCTTCGGAACGATCTTGAAAGAAGAACTGGGCTAAAGGGAAATGCAATAAGGTTCGAGAAGGTCGTCTATACTGGGAAGGAAGGCAAGACCACTCAAGGCTGTCCAATGGCTAAATGGGTAAGTCAACTTGAATGATATTTTGTGTCGTTAATAAGAGATCTATGATATTAGTTTACTATTACAAATCGACCTAAATTATACTGTGGTGATGGGATTATAATATCAGTGATTCACTAGATAATACGACGATCTGGCATCGACGAGAAGATCCTTTCTATAGTGAAACATCGACAAGGTCATAAATGTGCTACAGCGTGGATCGTTGTAGCAATGGTTGCTTGGGAAGGTGTTCCAACCCATGAGGCTGATCGAATTTACTCCCTTTTGAGTCACAAATTAAATCGTTTTGGTCTTCCGACGACCAGAAGATGTGGTACTAATGAACCGAGAACCTGTGCTTGTCAAGGACTCGATCCTGATACCTGTGGAGCGAGCTTTTCTTTCGGATGTTCTTGGTCTATGTATTATAATGGTTGTAAATATGCAAGAAGCAAAACTGTACGAAAATTTCGATTATCCGTTCGATCTGAGGTAAGATAATTTAATAAAAGCTGTCCTTTTTTTGGGTACACATGATATCAATGATTTTTATTCAGGAGCAAGAAGTTGAAGAGAGGATGCACGTTTTGGCTACACTTTTGTCACCCTTATATTTGAGTCTTGCACCGGAAGCATTTAATAATCAAACGCAATTCGAACGAGAAGCAAGCGAGTGTCGGTTAGGATTTAAACCTGGTAGACCTTTTTCTGGTGTAACAGCTTGCATCGATTTCTGTGCTCATTCTCATCGAGACCTCCATAATATGAACAACGGATGCACTGTGGTATGTCAAGCGCGGTTGTAATGTTTTCTATTTTAGCTCTAATACGCTTATCTAAAATGAACTAAATTTATAGGTAGTAAGTCTTACAAAACATCGAACATTGGCGAAACCTGAAGATGAACAGCTACATGTACTTCCTCTATACATCATGGATGATACAGACGAATTTGGTTCAAAAGAAGGACAAGAAGAGAAAGTTCGTTCCGGGGCCTTAGAAGTTTTAAATAAGTAAGTAACTTTCGTTGCATTAAGGGTATAGATAATGAACGGTAGAATTATTTAAAAAAATGATCATCTTAACAGATATCCCTGTGAGGTCAGAGTTCGATCTGTTCCTCTTCAACCTTGTCGTCGGCATGGGAAGAAAAGGAAAGACGAGGAACCTGATACTGCAGCTAATAAAAAAGAAATACAAAGGCACACTAATACGTCCGATAAAATAATAGAAGCTAGTCGTGCAGTAAATCATCACGACTTGTCCAGAACTCCAGCAAGAGATACACAATTATCTTTAGAAATGACTTCAATGTTCGAAGGTATGGATGCGCAATTACAAAGTTCTCAGGTGTCGTCAACTGTCCTCGATAGTCCAGTATCTATGTATCAAGGTTGGGGTTATCAGAGTGACCAACAATGGAGCCGAAATGGTTGGTTGGATCAAAGAAAAAATAATTGGTTAAATCCTTGGGGAGAATATGCCTTTGGTGGTTTAGAAAGAGATACTAAAGTAGATCCTGATAGCACAAGTCTGGATGACATCAGACCACGAAGTACAGTTTCGCAAGAAGATCATAGACCAGGTTCAAGAAATTTACCAAATTCCACAATGGATTCGCCAAGAGGTACTTACAGTCATTCGCCAAGAGGTCATCCTATTTCTCCAAGAAGTTCTCATCCTTGTACACCCGGTGAAGCAACTTATGCCATGTCACCAAGAGGATGTCCATCAACGCCACAGGATCCAAGAATGGCTTCCCCAAGAAGTTCCGGATATCCCACAACACCCGACGGTAGTTACAATCATGCATCTTCTACGAGAAGCTATCAGCATATTTTTGATGCCAGACAAAATAACGCGTCTCCAAGAGCAGGATACTTTCATTCACCAACTCATTTAGATGTTATGCAAAAAAATTTACAATCACGAATTCATCAGTCACAAACGAATGCTAATAACATTCGTCATGTTGGACAAAATACCATGGACAATCAAACTAGAATGAGACAAGATGCTAGTCAACAAAAATACTCTGGTGCATTGCCACAGACTTATTTAGAATCACAGAATACTACAAGATTTATGTTACCAAAATCACAAGCCGAGCCATCCTTTTCATCGAGAGTACAAAGTCATTATCTTTCGCAATCCGTTCAACTAGGAAGAAATGCTACATATCAAAATCAACATACCGATTCTAATTTAGGAGACGTTTTTCCTGGATATAGTGGTACTTCCTGTATGGATGGTAATAGTCACAAATCACTTGGTGCTACGAATCCAGATTTCCTCCTTCAAGGTTCTTTAAATCTTCCATCTATTCCTGATCAGCAAAGTGATGTACAAGGACTTTTGAGTTCAAGCGATCAAAAAAGGTATTTCGGTCGTTTGCAAAGACAACCGGATTTAAAAACTCCAGCAACACCTCAATTCCCAACCGTATCTTCGGAACAAGGAGGTTATGGAAGCAGTTGGAATATGTTTAATTTATGGTCTTCCGAATCTTCCAAACCGATGGAGCATCAAACCCTCTTTAACGAGCATCAAAATATGGCGGAGAAAATAAATCATCAAACGGCTCATCAGAAAAATCCAACTTGGCCTGAAAGATTACCAAATACTGATCAATCAAAACAAACTTGTTGGGAAACGCAAACTGAACCATCTCCTTTCCGTATACCCAAAGGAAGGCCACCTTCGAGAACAACATCAAATCAACATCTGTCAACTGATAATAATGCTTATCCAAACACATTTGCAAGAACATTTTTGAAGCCACAGGAACCAACAAGAAATAATACTTTTGCTGACAGTTTAAGCAATGGCGTACAAACATGCGTACCAAATCAGAATCATCAGAAACGAACAGATTGGCACGATGATAAAATAAGAGAAGGGTTTCACGATGGAAGACAAGAGATCGTTAATTCGAATACAAGTTCACTGGCTTGGGCAGAAGAAATGAAACAAGTTCAAGATTTGCATGCTATGTCGAGTTTGGGTCATCCTCACGCATTTCCACAGTACGGTTATCCTACATATCCAGTTTTTGATAAACCGTACCCAAATACTTGGGAAGGTTATAATTATCATCAACCTTATCATCCACAAGCTCCGCAATATCCTCCGCAATTTTATCAACAACCTAAAAGGGATGCCTGCTTCCATTCTCCGCAATATCCGTATCAAAGTATACCACCATATCAGAGTTTAAATGCAGGTTGGCCAAGATGGGAAACCTCTCGTTGGGATATTTATGGACCTCCACCTTACTTCCCGGTACTGCCCGAGCCACCACCTAAAGCTGAACCGCTTGGCGAGGTAGCCGATTATTCCGACAACGAGGAGTGCTTCAAAGATCCGCAAATGGGAGGAGTTGCTATAGCTTTAGGTCATGGTAGTGTTTTATTCGAATGTGCAAAACACGAGATGCACGCAACAACGGCCTTGAAGAAACCCAATCGTCTTAATCCGACTAGGATCAGTTTAGTATTTTATCAACATCGTAATTTAAACAGACCGAGACACGGTTGGGACGAATGGGAAGAGAAAATGAGATTGAGAAAATTAGGTGTTGTAACGACAACTACTACCAGCACGTCGAATACATCACCATTGGTATCTACAGCAGTTACTAGTCCAGCAGCTAGTTCAGCGAGTAACGAGAAACTACCACCACTTCCTCATATATCTACAGTACCAAATTCACAATTTATGATGAGATCACCAACTTATACCACCATGACTTGGACAACACTTTTTCCGATGCATCCGTGTATGATAACAGGTCCGTATCAAGAAGGAGGAGCAATTGGATGAGCCATCAGCGGTAGGTACGATTCCAATCGGCCGTGATTGCGAATCGTACCGGGAATTGAACGAATAATTTAACAAAATCCGGATACAGCGAAGAAATTAGGAGGGATCATTTGTTCGTACAGCCATATTGATGAGGTGTGCCTGACCGGCATTAAAAATAGGAACGATCCATACAGAGTTGAACCGAACGAAAGCGATAGATACCGTATGAGAGATAGAGAGAGAGAGAGAGAGAGAGAGAGAGAGAGAGAGAGAGAGAGAAAGGAGGGCGGAGAGAGAAATAAGTATAGAGTGACGAAATGAAAGATCTGCCAAGCAAGAACATGAATCGGTATCAACTCATTTCCAAAACCCGTTTTAGACTTACATATAAAATACATTATTTTTTTGTTCCCTGTGTAAAAGATACCTTATAACGGGAAGACTTTAAAAAAAAAAAAAAAAAAAAAAGAGCGAGAATCTTTCAAATATATATTTTAGGGCGCATTATTCTAATAATATTGGAGTTAGTTCTTTATCGAAGGAGAAACAAAACAAAAAAAAAAAACCAATTGCACTGCCATTTTTCTATCATACGTTTTGTGCGCGATACAAAAAAAAAAAAAGAAGAAACACGAAAAATAAAAAAAAAACAAAAAATGAAGAAAAGGGGGTAAATAATAATAACGAAAGAACAGAAAAAAAAAAACAGAAAAAAAATAAAACAAAAAAAAAAACAAACAAAAAATGAAGAAAAGGGGGTAAATAATAATAACGAAAGAACAGAAAAAAAGTAGATGCTGACGAACGACAATTATAAGGGCGTCCATTGCGTGATCTCCCCACCTTTTTTTGGGGCTTCCTTTTTTTATACGAAACTTTTGTTAGACTCACGGGTAAGATTATTACGTGTTAAAAGAAACAAATGAAATAATCATTAAAAATAACGCGCGCACGAGACGGATGATGATAGTTTATGAAAAAGGCAAGTGAGACGTGTGTAGATAAAAGATGTAAAGAGAGTGTTTTAGACAGAGAGAGAGAGAGAGAGAGAGAGTAAAAAAAAAAGAGAAAAAGAAAGATACATGGGATATATCCAGTAAGATTATCGAAATAGGAAAATATTCGAAAAAGTTTTAATTGTCATAATTTAACAAAATGTAGGAACGAACAAAATGAAAGTTATGAATGTGTAATAATATCGCAAATGCGAGAATTGTGAACTCGAAACGCGTTTTTAAAATAATAACGATTAAACTTGATGATTTAAGGGGGGATATACCTTTAGAGGTTCGAACAAAACGCTTTTTTTACGCTTTTTTTTTGGAAAACTTGCTTTATATTTTTTGACGAATAATCTTTAGTTCAAAATATACATGTTTGGAGTTAATACAGTTGGATGTAAAAATATTGTGATACAACCGAGTCATAACCAATCTACGTGATGTCCAAAAAAAAAAAAGGTGGTTTGCGGTGAGTAAAGAATCTCTTTACTGGATCATCTGCAATAAACAAAATCAATGCAAATACCTTGTATAGATGTGTCTTAACAAATTGAACGATCAACTTTTCCAAAATATTAGTTTTTAACAAAATGGCGCACTTTTGAAACAAGAATTAATACAGTTGGATGTAAAAATATTGTGATACAACCGAGTCATAACCAATCTACGTGATTTCCAAAAAAAAAAAGGGTGGTTTGCGGTGAGTAAAGAATCTCTTTACTGGATCATCTGAAATAAACAAAATCAATGCAAATACCTTGTATAGATGTGTCTTAACCGTTTGCGTACCAGAGGGTTTTGAAAAAACACGATCGACAAACGCCAAGGAGCGCGATCGCGCTCCTTCTATTATGTGTCGAAAAAAGCCGAAGAGCGCGATAGCGCTTGTCACAATGCGGTAAATAATCGGGCCACGCTTCTCGTGTTTGTTTTTTCTATTTCTATACCATCATTCTTTATGCAAGCGGCAGAAAGAACGGAGTGTTATAAAAGAGTAGTGTTATAAAAGTGCGATCATCATAACCGTGTCTTTGTAGAAATTATTAGACGAAATAAAGCAGAAGGTAAGTGTGGTGTTAGCTGAGGTTCATTGAGTCTGAAAAACTGAGCGCGTTTCTACAAATATCGGGTGGACCGTCAATTGTCGGTTTCGGCCAAATGCCCTGGCTTTTCTCGACACAAAATCTGAAGAGCGCGAAAGTGGCTCGTGGTACGCAAACGGTTAACAAATTGAACGATCAACTTTTCCAAAATATTAGTTTTTAACAAAATGGCGCACTTTTGAAAAAAAAGTTCTGTTTTTTTCATCAAAAAAAAAAAAAACGCCTATTTATCGGCTTAAAAAAAAATATATATATATATTAATTAAAAATAAAAAAACCGATCGTTCAATCTGTTCTCTATTATGCTTTTAATAACTGATTAAAATTTGAAAGCAATCGGTTAATCCGTTCGTGAGATTTCTTACTCACCGATTTTGAAAATGTAGTTTCGAGAAAAACTAGGAGATGGAACTAGGATAGGAAAAACAGGAGATAAATTAAAGAAAGAATTACATATTATTTCTTTCGTCTACAATATCTCCATAAGTAAAGGTCACATCTTTATGAAATTTTGATAGAATACTTTCGAAATGATATACTTTTAGAAAATGCAACAAAAAAAAAAGAAAAAATCGATTTTTTTTTTTTTCAAAATGTATATCCCCCATTAAGGTGCTCGGACTTTGATACGATAGATCTTAAGAATAAAATCGGAAATAAAGGTAAAGAAAAAAGAACGAAAAGAAAAAAAAATACAAAATACGAATAAAAATAAAGCAAAAAAAAACAAAAAAACAAAAAGGTAAAAAGTATTTAGTATATTCGACTGTACACGCTTGAAATAAAAGAAAAAAGAGAAAAAAAAAGAACAAAAACAATAAGAAAAAGACAAAAACAAAAACAAAAACAAAAACAAAAAAAAACACACACACAAAAAAGATAACGCGTTTTTCTGTGCGAACAAACGAAAAAGGATCATCGTCAAATAGGTTTCGTATTGGTAATATAGCATCGCGTAATTTTTCTTACCTAGTCCAAGCCTAGAGAAAGTGAGTATGAAACAATAAAATAATAATCAATAAAATCCAATTATCACGCGAGTTCGTGACAAATTTTAAAGCATTCTTTTTCATGAACGAAAAAGACGAAAAAAAAAAAAAAACAAAAAATAATGAAAACAGTAAACTATTACTATTAATAATATACATTTTTTGAAACGTTCCATTTTCGCGCATGATTATCCGACTAATTATTTTACATATTTACGATCGATGCCACGTGTTCCAATTGATATGACCTATACTCGTCCAGTGAAACGTTTCGGAATATTAAAACAATCCGTACATATACATACATACACACACATATACAGGGTTGGGCAATAACTATTAGCACCACAGATATCTTCGAAACTATAAGGTTCACAGAAATATTTGCTGAAATAAAATTGCACAGTACGAAAAGCGATCCATCCGATAGCGATAATAGTTTTTTTTGCAGGTGGAGGTACTTTGGACATTTGAAGGTCACCTCCATTTTTTCAAATGGATCGTTATGTTTTTGTTTCTGTATCATGATAGAGGAGCTTAAAATGAGTTCAACGACCTATCACATAAGGTCATTGAAGGTCATAGAAAGTACATAAAAGCGAACATACCGATCCATTTGAAAAAATGGAGGTGACCTTCAAATGTCCAAAGTACCTCTACCTGCAAAAAAACTATTATCCCTATCGGATGGCCCTTTTCGTACTGTGCAATTTTATTTCAGCAAATATTTCTGTGAACCTTATAGTTTCGAAGACATCTGTGGTGTTAATAGTTATTGCCCAACCCTGTATATATATATGAAAATGAAGAAAATACAAAAAAGTAGGCTTAATATCTTAGTTATGAACAATATTTTTCGTGAAAGCCATAAGAGAGAGAGAGAAAGAGAGAGAGAGAGAGAGAGAGAGAGAGAGAGAGATTGCACAATAATTGTATACTATCATCATCAATATACCACCATTGCTAAGTATTTTTCCAGAAGTGTTCGTGTTACACACAACACATATACACATATATGCACATTTACAGAAATACATATATGCACTTATATAAATGCATCATTGAAAGAGAGAGAGAAAGAAAGAAAGAGAGAGAGAGAGAGAGAGAGAGAGAGAGAGAGAGAAAGAAAAACAGAAAGTTAGAAAAAAATGAAAAAGAAAATGTTGCTACACGTACAACACGCATACACAAACACGAAAGAAATGATCTCAAGTCTTAAAATAACTAATTAAACGATAAATATTCTCCGTTTTTCTCTTTATAGCCCTTTGTAAATTGCGCTTGTTATTATTCTATACATATATTCATATTTATTTGTATGCACGCGTTTGCACCTGTAGCTGTTCATTAATTAAGTCGTGAGAAAAATGTGGGAAATAGTTTGATTAGAGAAAAGGCGCGCGGGATTATTAAAAATACTAACCAATCGTCCTTCGGGTCGGCTGAGTACAAAGCATTTTTTCCTAACAATCATTTAATACGATAATGACATGCAGATATGGCGTTATCAAATCTTTGATAATTTACGTTGGTTTTTATTTTTTAGGTTGTTTTTCTTCTCTTGTTTTTCTTTTCTCTTAGTTTTTGTGATTTTTTTTKGTGATTTTTTTTGTGATTTTTTGACATTTCCTTTCAAACCTTGACTATATTCCGATTGCAATTTTTTTTTGTTTTTTGCGTCCAAGAACCCTCTGACGTAAATTTTATATAGAAAAATATCGGTATTTGTAATATTATCTATTAATTCCTCCTTCCCTCTCAACAATTGTCTTGTCCCTCCTTCTCTTTTTAACACATTAAGCGCCGGTACCATTTTTACGCGAGTTTCTTCTTATGTTTATCGTTTGAGAAATTTTGCTAAACTTCTTTATTGACTTGTATGAATAATAATTTACACGTTAATTAACATTATTTATTAAAATAACAAAACACTAATGGTATGGTTTGAAAACAATTAAAAAAATATTTTCTTGTCAAAATTTCTTTTTCCAAACTATTCTTTCAAATCTGACATTTTTTCTATGTTCTTAGCGCTTAATGTGTTATAATAGTGTATACGAAATAAAAGTCGTAAGTTACATTTGTTACATTTATCTAAAGATAATTTTAACTTTTTTATTTGATTTCCGTGTTTTTTTTAAATTTTATTTTGTAGTTTATTTTTTTATCATTTCTAATCAAAATTTGCTGGTAAGCAATAATTTAGTTCCCCTCAAAAAAAAAAAAAAAATAAATAAATAAATAAAGTATTAGTTATAGTTCGGCCTTTATAAATATTAGGCGACTGTGTTAGTAGCGATTTCAAAATGCCCATGTCTCCTAATAGAAATTTATAATCATTTGACTGCTTTATTTTTAGCGAAT